GTTGAAGTCTTGTAAGTCAGTAGGTCTGTCAGGTCTGGTTGCCCAGATACCAAACAAAGTCAGGGAGAAAGAAGGGAAGAAGAAAGGAAGGAAGGAAGGAGGGAGAACAAAGAAAAAAGAAGTGCATCAATTTGAGGGGTGCCTTGGCATTGCTAGTTAGTATTGGCAATTTTAAATTGATCCTAAAATTAATTTTGGGATTGGTTGTTGAAGAAAAATTATAATTTTGGTTGGACCTAAAGTCGCACGATTTAATTTTTGTTCACAGTGCGAGTCGCGGCCTTGTGTGCTTACGAACTTGCTCGACTGTGGTGTCTACTAACTCGCGCAACAAAGGGTTGTTATGCGATTCTGCTTGACTGTAACGTAGCTGCGCTTGTTGTTTGATGTAGTCCCTTAGGTAAGGGATGTCACGGTCTCTGTGAAGGGTCTCGTTGGAAACATACCATGGGGCGTTAGTGATTGTACGCAAGGTTCTGTTCTGCAAAACCTGCAGGCTACGCAAATGCGTTTTGGCGAGAAAACACCAAGCCGCACTTACGTAAGTGATCGCTGGTCTAATAACCATCTTGTATAGTCGAACTTTGTTGATCAAACTTAATTTTGATGTTCTACATAGCATAGGGTAGAGTTGCCGAAACGAGATTTGGAATTTAGTTTTTAACGCTTCAGTGTGCTTCTGCCAGGTTATCCCCTTGTCAAGAGTGATACCTAGATACTTAGCAGAGCTTTCCCATGGTACCGGAGCACCATTCACTGAAACCTCAGACGGGGCGCCGCTACGTTTTTTAGTACAATAGATTGCCTGCGTTTTCGAATGATTAATTTTGATCAGCCACCGATTCGCCCATTCCAATACCTCGTCCACTGCACTTTGCAGCCTGTCGTGAACTACATCCCCAGAGCACGATTGGGCTAGCAGGGCAGTGTCATCAGCATAGAGGTAGGTTTCACAGCTGCTGGGGCAAGGGACGACATGAATAAAAAGTGAATAAAGGACTGGTCCAAGAACCGAACCCTGAGGGACACCGGCTTTGATGGGCCGTGTTGGCGACAGAACGTTATTAATTTTGATCCGAAATTTCCTACCCTCGAGAAAGGATTTCAAAAGTTTTAGGAGCCAGAAGGGGAGGCCCTTATGGATCAATTTGTAGAGAAGGCTCTTGTGCCACACCTTGTCAAATGCCTTTGAGACATCTAGTAGCAAGATGCCAGTACTTTCATTACGGGTGAACCCGCTGGTTACTCGTTCAATAAGCCTTATGGCCTGTAGCTCCGTACTATGCTCAGACCGAAGGCCAAATTGCACGTCAGGAATCACATTGTGGTCTGCCGAGAAATTTTCAAGGTGACGTAGAAACACCTTTTCAGCGAGCTTAGAAGGAGCTGACAGTAGACTAACGGGGCGGTAATCCTGAGGGAATATCGAACCCGCCTTCTTTGGAATCATTATGACATCAGCGGTCTTCCACGCCGTTGGGAAGTGCTGGGTCCTTAGCATGGTATTGATTATTGCCACGAGATAAGTTAAGGACCTCCGCGAAAGTAGCTTCAGCGCCTTATTAGTGATTCGATCCTCTCCAGGTGCTTTACGCACCTTGAGGTCTTTAATATGACCTTGGAGCTCTGCTGGTGTGCAATGCGGAGTCTCAGGAGATCTCGCTGATGTGCCGTGCAGCTCTTCAATTGAGGAGTCATCTGAAGATTCCTCTGAGGAAAAATCACTAAGGGAGGCACTACTGCCACTGACGCCGTTGGCCCTAAAATATCTCCTGACGGATCTTACAATATGTTGCTCCTCGTCGAGGTCATTATCAAGGTCATAGTTGGGAGAGAACTGACTTTCCATTGCATCAGCGAAAACCTCGACCTTTTCCTCTGTCCTACAGACTATGCCCCTAGGACCGTGGATGTGCGGGAGTTGTTCTCGCTTTCCATTTCTGAGCGACTTTGCAACTTTCCAGAGAGGAATACTTGAGTCAAGCATCCCCGACAGAAAGTCGCTCCATTGCTCATTACGGAATTCATGAAGAGCATTTCTCACTTCATGAACAAGATTAGTTGCTCTGTGAATGTCATCTGGGTGACAAGACCTCTTCGCTTGCTTAATTGCAGCTCTTTTGTCAGAAATTTTCTGACGAATGTCTGCAGGGAGAATGAATGATACATGTGAATGTATGTCCAATCTGTCAGCATTACGTTTGAACCACCATATGGAGAGACGCAAAAGTTTGTACACTCACTAGTTGAAATCCGGGAAAGGCTATGGGCATGATTTTGTCGGCAAAAATGTACAAAGTTTTCAAACAGTATGAATCAAAATATCTAAAAAAATACGATTCCTATAGAACAATGCTGTTAAACAAAGTCGTATGGTTTGAAAAGCTTTATTCATTGGTGCTCTTGAACGTGACCTTGACTTTGACTTTTAAGGTCATTTGAAGCTCAAGCCAGTTTTCTTTAACGAAACCCCATTTCTGACATAGGAAATGAAAAAAGAGGGAAATTTTTTGTTGGAATCTGTCTTTGTCCATGACCTTGATTATGATCTTCATGAATATTTGGAGTTGTTCAGGGAGTAGGGAAAGGACAAAATATCTCGAAAAATATATTTCATAAAGAAAAATGTTGTGTAGTAAATTTCTAAGATTTGAAAAGGTCCATCCAATGGTGACCTTAAACCTGACTTTAACTATGATCTTCAAGCCAATTTGAAGGTCAAGACGGAATGGAAACCCGTATTTTTGACACCCGAAATAAAAAGAGTAACACACCTTATGTTCAAGTATTGCGCATGGCTATGAATATCAAGGTAAAATTTCAAGATTGAATGATTTTTTATCACAAAACATTCATTTTCAGTTCCAGAAATGCAGAATGTAGACAATTTCAAGTTCAATTATGTCCTTGCCAATAAACCTGGACACAATCTTCAAGGTACGATAAATTTTCAACTAAGCTCCTTACTTACTTTCACCAGGAGTTTCCAACCAGGGGGCGCGCCTTTCAAGGGTAACATAGAGAGATGTCAACGGGGTGGAAAGCGTTTGCATTTCAGAAAGAAAGAACAAAAAATAAACAAACAACATTAACAAATAACATTACAATGTAATGTTAAATTTACACGCATCAAATTAGAAATAAAATATCATATTCACTTATTTTGTCAACCGCTGTTTCAAAACCCGGCGTCATCAATCGCAGTTTATACAAGTTTCGACAAGTCACAACATGAAATCCGCGCGCTCCCACGCCGCGCTCCGCTTAACATTCATCACTTAGAAAACAATTGTGTACCTACCAGACGCGGATGAGCATGTGTGACATTCATTCCCACAAACTTGCGAAAAATTTGACGTTTCGATATACATGTTTTGTTGAGAAATCTGTTTGACTGTGTCAAATTATTGTGTCTCACTGTTAAAAGGTAAGTTTGTGTATTTACAAACCATCTTTATTTAATACTATTCGTCATTTGTTAGTCTAGGCGGTCGGTAGGACCGTTGCCCATTTGTCACTGTCTAATGTACGTTAGTCAAATCTGTTAGGTAGTACTGGTTGCCCAGAAACCAGACAATGTCAAGGAAAAATAGAAAGGGAATGAGAAGAAAAATGGAGAAGGGCAAAGAAAAACAGAAGTGTTTAGTTTAAGAGGAAGCTCCTAGGTTTTTTGATTTGGTACACGGATGAGATGAACTAAATAAAGTTTGATTGGGTTTTGTTAGAGTGTAATTTTAACTTTACTAAAAGTTCGCGCTAATTTTTTATTACAGTGCGAGCCGTGGCCGTGACACCGAGATACTTGGCAGAATTTGTCTATGGTACACGATTTCCGTCTACAGAAACCTCTGCTGGGGGCCCACGACGTTTTTTGATACAATAAATAGCCTGCGCTTTCGAATGATTAATTTTTATCAGACACCGTTCCGCCAACTCTAGAACTTCGTCCACCGCATTCTGCAACTCATCGTGAACCAGATCACCAGTACACGACTGGGCGACAAGTGCAGTGTCGTCAGCATAGAGGTAGACTTCACAGTTGCTGGTGCAAGGGACATCATGTATGAAAAGCGAATAAAGAATTGGTCCTAGAACCGAACTCTGAGGAACGCCGGCCCGTACTGACCGTGTTGTTAACAACACATTGTTAATTTTGATCCGAAACTTCCTTCCTTCAAGAAAGGATTTCAGTAATTTTAGAAGCCAAAGAGGAAAACCCTTTTGGATTAGTTTATAGAGGAGGCTCGCGTGCCACACCTTGTCAAAAGCAAGATGCCATTACCAAGCTTAGGGTGAACCCTCTGGTTACATGCTCCACCAGCCTGACTGCCTGTAGCTCGGTGCTATGCTCGGACCGAAAACCGAATTGGACGTCAGGAATCACATGGTGATTTGACGAAAAATTCTCAAGGTGACGATAAATCACCTTTTCGGCCAGCTTAGAAGGAGCTGACAGCAGACTTATGGAACGGTAATCCTGAGGAAATATCGAACCCACCTTCTTTGTAATTATGATGACCTCAGCAGTCTTCCACCCCAGAGCGTCGCATTGATTATTGTCACCAAATATGTCAGGCCTTTCGGCAGCTTCAACGCCTTGTTGGTGATTTGATCCTCCCCAGGTGCTTTACGTACCTTGAGGTCTTTAATATGAGTTAGGAGCTCCGCTGGTGTGCAATGTGGAAACACGGTTTTATTAAATTTACTAAATTTTTGATTGACTGGAGACGCGTTCTTTGGGACTTTTTTACCACATCACAATCAAACCAACGTGGCGAAATAACTTTGAAACGCCGAACTTCAGGTACCTAATATTGATTCCAAATGTATTTAAAATTACTATTATAACGTCAGCCTGCCTATAAACATATAAATCTCCCGGTGGCCAGTATACTGTTGAATAGATTACGTTATTAAGATAAAATAATGGGTATATAATTAGTAATTACATGTAGGTATTTTGCTTATTTATTTATTACTTATTTGTTTTATTGTTATAGGTGCAAAATGGCAGCGGAAAAAGAAAGTTTTCCGAAGATTACGTTAACTTTGGATTTACGTTCATAGAAAAAGACGAGTTACAATTGCCTCAGTGATATGTATGAAAGTTTTAAGTAATTATAGCATGAGGCCCAATCGCCATCAAAGGCATTTGAAGCAACAACATCCTACTCTGGTTTTGAAGACGAAAGAGTTTTTTTCTTCTAAAGCAGAATCACTCAAGCGAATCAGACTGGATAAATCGGGAAGTTATCACAAAAGTGTATCGCAGCATCTCAAAGCTTCATTTGAAGTAGCTTTTATGATAGCAAAGCAAGAGAAACCTCATACTATCGGTGAAGAATTAATAAAACCATGTGTGCTAAAAGCCACGCAGATAACTTTAGGAGAAGATGCAGAGCAAAAAAAGAAGTTCTCTTTCGAATAACACAGTCAAGCGTAGAAGCGATGACATTGCAGCAGACATAAAGTCACTAATAATTAACAAAGTAAAATTATCGCCATTTTTTGCGATGAATCCACCGACATAGTTAATTGTGCACAGTTAATAGTTTATGTTCGTTACATCGGCGGAGATATCATTCAAGAAGAGATTTTGTACTCCCAATCTTTGACAGCAGGTACCACATCTGAAGATATATTTAACTCAATATCTAATTTTGTTGAAAAAATGATTTGGATTGGAAGAAACCCATTGGACTTTGAACAGATAACGCACCTGCAATGATAGGTGTACCGATCGGGTTAGCTAAAAAGCTCAAGGAAAAAATCCCGCTCTGGTTAGTATACATTGTGTTATTCATCGGCAAGCTTTGTCTTCCAAAACATTGCCAGACTTTGAACGCGCTTTGAACAGTCGGTTATTTACGATCCTGATCACAAACGTCTTGTGTTCCATCCAGAAATACGCTGGCTGTCCAAAGGCAGCATGTTGGCTCGCCTTTATGAATTGAAAGAAGAGGTAATTCTTTTTCTTGAGTTCAAAGAAAAATACGATTTCTTGACAATGCTCAAAGATGACACATTTCAGTGGAGGTTGGCTTATTTAACTGACATATGTGACTCCTTGAATGAGCTAAACTTGAAACTTCAGGGTAGAAACAACACTACAATAAGCAATTATGATTACATTCAGGGGTTCATATTAAAGCTTCAACTTTGGAATCAAAAACTCTCTTCTGTTATATCTTTTTCTCGGCTGTTCCAAGCAATTAGGAATAACATACGGGACGCAAATTTAAAAGCTGACATAAAAACTCATTTGCAAGCGCTGGAAGACGAACTTCGCCGATACTAACGAGGCATCAATTCAGAGTCACCAATATGGCACATGACAAGAAATCCATTTGTTGTCGATGTGCCACAACTACCAGAAGAAGTTCAGGAAGAATTTCTAGAAATGAAGGTTGATTCGTCCATGAGAGATGACTTCCATCCTTCAACATTGGAGAAATTTTGGATTAAAAGATTGCCTATTAATTCGACACTTGCCTCTCTTGCTTTACAAATACTAGTTCCGTTTTCTTCAACTTACTTATGTGAGACAGGCTTTTCTGCTCTAGTCTCTAGTTTTAAGTAAAACTAAACAGCCAAATCGGTCTGGCAAAGACAGAACCTAGAATCAACTAACCGGTACAGAACTTGCGCTCTTAAGTGTCTCATTAATACCTACTCTTATTTTATTCAAGTTTTCCGATAAAAAACATTGAATAGTTTATGTAAGCTTTTAAAGTTTCTTTATTAGAATTAAAATAAAAGTCTTTGTACCTATATAATGTGCGTTTTTTTGCATTTATTGAAAAAGTAAAAGGGGGCCGTGAAAATATAATTTATAGTCCGAGAGCCTCAACAAAAAGAAGGTTGGAAAACCCTGCTTTACACTACTTCCACGCGAGTGGAGCCGCGGGCTTTAGTCTAGTTTTATAATTATTAGAATTCCCGCCGATATCTCGAAAACGGGACATTCTATGCACCATACCATTCAAAACTTGCACTCCATCCTGAGCAGTTGCATTGGCAACTTCTAACTCCATCGTGATATGAGGCTGTCCGCCGCGGAGTATCTCCTACAGTCGAAACAAAGGGTCGTGGAGTTGTGAGTTGATACCGTCGACTCCCCCTTTGTGCTTTCCGGTCCTTATTATCGTTATTAGTTGCGGAGGGAAATGCGGTTGTCGAGAGCGGGTGCGAGCAGGACGGCGCTTCGCGAAGCCGCCGCACAATAAAGGTGCTCCGTTGCAGACACACATGAAGAGAGGGTGTACACGCTGTCAATTAGTGAACTGGGAAATACGAGGAGAGGCACAGATGAAGCTCTATCTAGATGTTTGTGATGTGAAGTTAGAGGGACTTTCCACCTAGTCAAAATTGCATTTGGCACGAACACATCTCGGCGTTAGCGGCAGCTGCTGGGAAAAAGCTAGACTATTTGGTTAGGCTAAGAAGTACTTTCTACTCTGCACAAGGCCCAGATAAGAGCCAACCTCAAGTACTGCTCACATGTTTGGTGTGCTGCCGCCTAGACTACATTATCCATGTTCGATACTGTTCAGAGGAGGGCTCTCCGACAACCCTTCTCTAATGGACAGTCTCTTTTGCACCGACGGGAGCTCTATTTTTCTCTTCCTACTAACCTCAATCAATTCAAAAGTCGAATTGACGTTTCTTTAAGTTACTCCCCAACTAGCAAAGTAGTGGTATAAGCTTTTGGTAAAAGAACCGTTCAGCCATAAAAGCTCTCTATTGTTATTGCCTGAACACCAAAATGCTGGCTTAATATTGTGTGGAATGCAAATTTGCTTTCTGCAACATATTTGCTCTAAAGTGAGGTGTTTAAAATATTCTTATAGCATAGATATACAACAACTTATAGGGCAAATTTTTAACTGTTGCATAAACGTTTATAAAACTATTTTATACGGCATATTTGCACGTTAGTCAAATGGTTGTGTTGTGGCATCCATGGTAACGTTTATAAAACAAACCCGAGCCTTGTTGTTTTGCTGTGCAATTTACTACTTTAGCCAACAAATTGCTCCCAACGGAAGCACTTATACAACTGTTGTTTAGTAACTGTTAAAGGCTGTACATATGCTAAATATGTTGGTATACAACTTCACCACAACCTAACTTTCTGCTGTCATATTTTTGTTAAAATGCCAAAACCAATGTTTTAAGACAAACAACGCATGTTTATTGGTTCAAAATGTTTTATCAACTGTTCAAACAGAATATATAGATCTGGTACAAATTCTGGGTGAATCATTCGACTCTGTCGGTATTTCATTTCAGAGATTTGTGAAATTGTTGTATAACACCTGCAGGCAACACCAAAATATTCTAATAACCTAAAGACAACATGGACGATGCAATGATTATACACAACCACCCGCCATATTGGGCAAACATTTATTCCTCTATTTAATATTAAATAATTATGTTTCAGTTCGAAATTGCAGATATAAAGTGATAAACATTAGTCTAATTGTGTCTAAATATAGGATTTGTGGAAGATTTAACGCAGATAAGTTCAGTTTTCCATCTTAAAAATCTAGACATACTTTTGATCATTATCAAAATATGAATCAAATACGAAGCCCGTAGAAATTGCGTAACTAATTTGCACGATAATAACAATAAAATTTGCTGCACAAGTAATTCAATAGCCCTATACCACAGTGTAGAAGTTTATCATATACCTGTGTATGAAATTCACAATGGCCGATATGTAGGTGAACAAGATGACTGTAATGTGTTAGTTATATATTCTTCTTCGTCTCTGCAATACGAAATAGTTTTGTTGCAATAAAGTAGAATCACGTAACAGAATTGTTGTATAGTTGACAAAAACTGAATCTTGCACTGACGCAAATGTTCTATAGCGGCTGCAAGAGGCTTACACTTTTGTTGTATAATTGTTACCTGCTGTCCTTATGCAACCTCTTAAATGACTGAAGTGTCCTATTAGGTGTGCCCATTCCGCTTGTATAGCAGTTCTAAGAGAGTTTTGCTAATGTTCTTACAGTATACAATGCTGTTTAAGGAATACTGTATAATCATTCCTGCAACTCTAATAAGAGTGATAATTGTTAGTGGGGTCATAGCACCGAAGAAATCTACTGTTTCTTGATGTAACATCCAAACTTGTTTAACTACCTCATTAGAACTGAGACAACTAAGGCCAAACTCAATAAAATTCATCGTTTGGCCTGTATCAGTATTACAAGCGCAGTGCGAACAACGCCATTGAGTGCAATTTAGCTGGGCTTTCTTGAATCCTGTCAAGGGGCATACTGCCATCTTAGACGAATTGTAAAGCGAGGATTCTAAGCAGGGGTATTACCCCTAAATATCGCTTCAACCGCCAGCTTATTGTGGAGTATCTCTGCCTCTCGGTGGATACACCACTATTTTCCAGGCGGAAATCTTTGCGATTCTGGCTTATGTATCTCACATTCTGGAGGAGGGTGAGCCTAGGAGAAGAATAACAATCTTATCCGATAGCCAGGCTGCAATGAAAGCACTAAGTGCCTGTAAGATTACTTCGAGTCTTGTATTGCAATGCAGGGAGACTCTGGATTGCCTCACAGCCAGGCATCTGGTATCGTTAATATGGGTACCGGGGCACGCTAGGATAAGGGGCAATGAGACGTCGGACACTCTGGCGAAGACAGGATCAGCCAGCAAGCTCGTTGGTCCTGAGCCAGCTCTAGGAGTAACCGCGCATAAAGCTAGGAGGAAAATGGAGACGTGAGTTGCAAGACAACATTCTCAGAAATGGAGAAATATCTCCAGACATCTCCGCCAGGTACGGGAACTCATTGAAGGGCCCAGTGCTAAGGATGGACGCTTCTGCCTATCTCTGGATGGAGCCAACCTAAGGTTGCTGGTGGGACTGTTGTCTGGGCATAACACGTTAAGGCTTCACCTGCACGTGATGGGAATGGCTGAGGATCCCTTGTGTGAATGCTGCGGGGTAGAGGAAGAGACCTCGGCGCACGTTTTGTGTCACTGTGAAGCTCTGAGCTACTATAGGCAGACTACACTGGGGTCCACTACTTTGGACCCTCAGGATGTCAAGGAGCTTGGACTAAAGGCGATTCTCAACAACGCTGAAAGGGCGAGGCTTGTGATTTAAGGATTGTAGAGGTGTATAAGGACCCGCTTAAGTGGCCTATGCATTGGCTCCTTATGGTGGCCGGAATGCCTCTAATTTCAAGATTCATTCATTCAACATCCAAAACTTATCCTGTGGCCTTCATGGTGACAACTGACTTCTAAAAGACAATTTGCTAAACAGACAAACTCGTATTTTATCATAGAGGATTGTTTGGAGAGAAGAAAGGATGTCTGGATATTGTTTCTTTCTCAAGATTCCTGAAATATACCGTACACAGCTGTTCTGGTCTTTGTAAATTCGGAAAACCGCCTGTTGAGTTAGGCAGGGACCAATAACATAATCGGCATACCCCAGCTAACAGTATGCTCCTGATTTACAAAATATTTTCATGGTGACTCA